AGTGTCAATGGGGAACCATACATACTATCCAATTAGGAAGAGCAATGAAATCACACAGGAGAGCTGCATCTGAACTTCATTTCTTGAAAGCCATTATGAGGTTGGAATCATAGTCCTGACCTATATTTGAAGCTCATTAGAGCTCCAAGATTTCACTCCAGAAGATGACAAATCATATTCTTGGATCTAAATTGTCCCAAAGGTTGTGATATTTTAAACCTCCATTTGGGATATTTTAAACCTCCGTTTGGGCTTCATGGTTTGGACTGGTGGGATTGGATCTTCTCTATGTAGTCTTGGATGCTGGGCTGGTGAATTTACAGAGGCAACCCTGCTGAAAATAATACCACTGGCTTTCACTTACCCTGAAGAGAGGATTTGTTGTTGAAAATGTTAAAACACTGCTGTGTTTGGAAGGGGTCAGAATTAACAAGGTAGTAGGTAAAGACTCTTTCCAGTAGTTCCTGGTGACAGGACAAGAGACAATGGGCACAAGCTGAAAGTTCCATTTAAATATGAGGAAAAACTTTATGGTGAGGGTTACAGAGGATTGGAACAGGCTGCCCAGGGAGGCTGTAGAGTCCCCTTCTCTGGAAGTATGCAAGACCCATCTGGATGCAGTCCTGTGGGATGTGTTCCAGGCAATCCTGCTTTAGCAGGGGAGTTGGACTAATGATCTCTAGAGGTCCCTTCCAACTCTAAGAATTCCGTGATTCTGTGAAATCTTCACTATACCTTTGTATCTCCTGAATCACTGAATGCTGGACTAGACTGTGGGTTTTACTGTGGAAAGTATAATTACTTTCAGTAAATACTATTTTCAGTAGCATACATGTATTTCCGCACAGGATTGTACCCAGAAATTCATTCAGCATGTGAGAAAGTATTTCTTAAAGAAAATTAATTAATAAATTATTTACTCTCCCTTTTCTGAGATCAGATGCATGCCATGATATTGAATCTGTTACACAAGCTGAAATGTGGTAAACTAGAATAGGATTTACAAGTTTCCCATGAAAAAAGAGAACAAATCACAGAACAGCTGAAAGTGGAGCTTAAAAAACAAAGACCAAAAAAAAAGAGAGTTGCAATTAGAGAATAGGGACAAAAGGACACGATATTCAGGAGAAATGTGACATGAACTCCAAACCTTTGGTAAGTGGAGAGTCTTGAGCCAGCCTGGTTGGCTGTACTGGCCCAGTACTACCTGCTGGGAAGGGGAAACACCACATTACACAGGCACCACCCTCCAAAGGGAAAGGCTCTGCTGGAGAAGGGTGCTGGCAGGCATGACCACCTCTTTGCAAGATGCTACGAGGAGTACACAGGGCAACAGAAAGCCTTCTGCAAGTAGCCCTGCACCAAAACAATGTAAGTAAAACTGAAGAAAAAGTAGGGCTAGAAAACAAAATTCATTCAGAGAATGGATGGAAAATATCCTCTAGCCAGTTGTACTGATGCAGTGGTGCAGCTCATGTTACTCCTTAAGTATTACGTGATCACTCATAGGTTGGGTTTCCATTTCCAGCATGCCTGGGCTCACACCACCTGCATTTGAGGATTTGAAATATGTAGCAATAAACAGGGTGTATATACCCCAGACAGAATGTGCCCTCAGTTTTTAGGGTTTTGTTAATGTTATGGAGAAAACTTCATCTACGAAAAAATGTTTTTGAAGTCATGCTATTCAACCTCTATCAGTACAGTAAATTAAAGCATTGCCCATTTTAAGAAGAGAGATGCAAATAAAGTAATTGAAATAAATAGGGCTAAATTCATATCTATGAAAAAAATTAGCAAGATCTGAAAGTGTTTATCATGAGAATTGCAGTACGTGACTTCTCAGTTTTCTACTTATAAAATGCATATAGTTAACACTTAACTATTTTAGTAATTTTACAGTGTTTAATGTTTTCAAAATATAATAAGAGGTTTTCTGGCAGGAAATTTGAACATGCACAATTTTGACTGTTTTAAGCTGCAGACAACCGAGTTCTGAAAAGCCAGCTTAGTTAGAGAAAAGGTTATTGGAGCAGGAACCATATTTACAGGCTTTTTCACTCTCTTCTGCTCTGCACATCCAGAATATGGCATTCAACATGTTTGTCGCTTCCAACATTTGTAATAATTA